TGTCCAAATATTATGGGAAACACCTCTTTTTATTTGAATGTGGTGGAAAATCTGTGTTTCATCTGATTTAGCTTCTAACATCATCTAGTGTGTGTGGAGATTAAAAAAAACAACAACAACAAAAAAACCCAATGGAGATGTTTTCATGGTCATTAGGCACTTTGTCTTTGTTATGCCTAGTGACTGCGAGAAGAAAACTCCCCACCATTACAACAGACAAAGATTGTATCCACATGGAGATAAAAGAGGCGATATTTTCCCTTTTTGGTATCAATGCTGTGTGAAAACTCGCTGCTGTGTTGATCAATATGCAAATATCTATTTTAATAAATCTCACTTACACTCTTGGTTTCAACACTGTTTTTTTTCCCCACAATAATGGATGAAGGGCCAGAGACAGACACACACAGCAGGCTCAGTGCTCCATGGCCAGGCATATTATATTAACCATAGTATCATATTATACACCATTAAAGTGTGTGCAGATCACAAGTTCAAACTCCAGTTATCTTGTCTTGTTCTCACTGTCTCGGTCTCGGAGATTTGGAGTCAACAGTATCCATGACACACAACGTAACGTTTGATAATGTGTCAAGCACAAAACGGCTCTAAGAGCTGTGCTTAGAGAGTGCTTTGTAGTGAATTAGAAGAGTCGACTCCCATTGAGCGCGAGCTGGCTCCTCACTTAATTTCCTTTCGCTAGGATAAAAACAGAGAGGGTGAGAGACGCGACAGTCAAGTGGAGCGTGCATCTGTCCTCTCAGTGAGTGAGTGAGACAAATTTTAATAATTTGTAATAATTTACAAATATGCCTGACATGCGTCTGGCTGCAGTTTAAACACTTTTTTGTCTCGGTCTTGATCTCATCCCGACTTTGTCTTGGTGTCGATACCCTCTGGTCTTGGTCTTGGTTTAGGCGGTCTTGACTACAAGTCTAATATATGCACAGTGAAGCTGGAGGTTGAAAGCTATTTTTGTTGTTGTAAACGAACCAAACTTCAGTCAGGAGAACAACCACCCACAATACTAGGTTAGTCATTGTGGAGATCAGGGAAATATTTTACTGCTACTATTCATAACCACCATCATTACCATTACATTAATTATCATTTCATCAAAGCATTTATTCAATAGATTACACATGTTCTTAGTTAAGATTATTACACCTATCACAGAGAGCTTCTGTCTAAAAGGTTAGAAGCATCAACGGGCGGGTGAGGCCGAGTGCGTTGGAGGTCGAGACACACACACACAAACAGTAGTTAGACTCATATTTAGGTAAGAGTTCAAATAATAGTTTGCAAAAGCTTGTGACTGCAAAATTGTGTCTGCCTAAGGGACAGTTTGTTCCAGGAGATAAGCGAGAGTTAGAAGATTAATAGGAAGCACCTGGCCTCAGGACGGAGAAGATGTCCTTTTAAATGTGTCGAAAGTCGTCAACAGAACATTTGTTGTTTTTGAAACTTATGCATGAATTGTATCTGTTTGACGCATGAGGGGGCGTCATAAACAAACATAATGGTATAAAACAACCGTTTGTGTATCATTGGGCGGAGATCGATGCTGTCTGCGTGCAGTGTTCATCTCCCCACGCGTGTGTTCATTAAAATCATCGTTTGACCGAAGCTCTTCTGGACCATTATTGTTTTTGTGCTCACCCTCAATATCTGAACCCGTAACATCATTAATATACTGCTCAATGGGCTGGGCTGTAGTTAATGGTAAGGTTTTAAAAAGTGAGCTTGAAAATGATTAGCGGTATAAAAAACAAGAGAGGCAGACGGTGATCACAGACTGTTTTAGGGGCTTGTTCAGATTAAATAGAACAAGATACAAAACATTAAAACACGATAAACCACAAAAGCAGAGTAGTGTTGGAAGCAGGGTTCATACGTCATCACTTAAACATTGGATGTCCCAACGTCTGTGAATGTTTTACTGCAGTTCAGTTGTTATTATGATCACTTGTCACATCTTGTTTATGACAGTTAAAATAAATAAGGTGGTGTTAAATAGGCCTATACTACTGTACTTTAATGTCGCTAATAAGGCGGGTACTGGTGTGTGTATATATATATACCACTGGTTTAATGAGAGCATAAAATGGGCCATACACAGAACGTGTACTCAGTAAGTAAGAAATTAAAACAAGCACGTGCTAAATGTAATGTTTAAATGTTTAGGTAGAGGTGATTGTGGAGAAGATGGGCAGGCAGACATCGATCAGCACTAATGTTCATATTTATACAAATCCATCAAAGAGTCAATGAAATCAGAGAGTCATTTATTGTAGCTTAGGGCAGAGAAAAGGCGCAGTGATAGTTATTGTCTGTAAGGAGAAGGGATCTCGTTCAGAATACAGAACAGACATTTAAACAGAGACAGAACATGATATTCTCCTGGATACTGGCTCATTAACTCTGGAAGAGACGGCTTAAACAACAACAGCGAGGGGGGAAGAGGGTTTAAAGAAAGTGTACTTTATTGATCCCCGCTGGGAAATCCCTCTCTGCATTTTAACCCATTCACTCAGTGAGGCAGTGGGCAGCCATTGGGCGCCCGGGGGGCAGTGTGTAGGGATGGTACCTTGCTCAGGGTAGCTGTTCAGGGGAATTGAACCCGCGATCATCCCATCGTGGGGCCACCACTTTACCTACTGAGGGTTTTTTTTCAGGATTCAAAACAATGCAGGATAAATCGGAAGAGAGGAGACTCTCACACGACGACGCACCGGATTAAAGAGAACAGTTTAAAACAGAAAAGGTCACAAATCTGAAAATGAGTAAAAACCTCACATAGATCAAACTTCAATCACATTAGTTTCTCCACACCAGTTGGTGGCGATAATGCACCTATTCATTGTTTGTAAACTGCATGTAAAGAGGAACAGGAAGAGGCGGGCAGCTGCAGCTGGATCACAAACCGAGTTTCTCTCATCTAAAGGTAAGCACCGAGCTAACTTTACTGTGAGCTCAGTTCATGTTGAGTTTAGCTCCTGAATGAGGTCTTCTGCTGCTCTCCTCGGTGTCTGTTCACAGTTTATTCATTAGCTAATACCAGCTAACACCAGCTAATCGTTAGCTCAGCATGCTGCAGCTGTTCGGTGCACCAAACGGGCCTGACTTTGATGCTGCCGCTGCTGTTTATGACAGGCGGGCACAC